CCGCCCAGATAAAGAGGAAACAAGATGAGAATGCTGCTCTGATAAAAGGTACCAAGCCACGTGGCTAAAAATAGATAAGAATTAAGGGTCACTTTAAGTTGTAAGAACTAGTTAATAATAAGCCTGAACTAATAGGCCAAGCAGTTTGTAATTAATAAAAGTCTCTGTGTGTTTCTTTGGGACTGAATGACTGTGGGACCAGGTAAGACAGAAACTTGTCTATAAATGGTATCCAAATATTTGACATGAATTTCTACATAAAACCTGAGAAAGATTAAAAAAAAAAGAAAAAGGATTCTAGAAAGGCAAGAACAGAGTCAAGTGTAGCTTTTTGGTTACTGTCTTTTAGGTTACTTGTCTGGTAGGCTCTGTTTGCTGGTGGTGAGCAGAGAAGAGGCTCCTTTGAGAGAGGCTTTCTGACTCAGCATTAGCAGCAAAAACTGTACAGCTCTTTGTACTGCTACCAAACACTTAAAATGTTGTTATGAGCTGGTATGCTTCTTGGTGGTAGCATGGACCTAGAAACTCCACAGAGTAGTGGTTAAAAAAAACAAAAAACAAAACAAAACAAAACAACAAAAAAAAACCTCAGAACAAAACATGACTTCCACCAGTACCTCCAACATGAAGCTAATCTCTCAAGAAGCCAAAGAGTGGGGTGGATGCAGTTGCCAATGCTGTATCTTTAATCCTAGTCACGTCACTTAGCAGACTAAAGATTCATGTGGTCAGAAAAAGAGAGTACCGTAAACACAGATTCAGATGAAGAAAAAAACCTCTAAATGGTTTACAGCATGTTTAAAAATATACATAGGTTTTTCAGCATATTTGTTCTGTGACTTGTGTATTTTCTGATAATGCAATACCTTCAGTACTTTACCCTCATCTTTAATATTCATTGAGCCTAAGTACAGCATGCCTGGAGCATGTCCACGTGTATGTATGCTTTCAGATCACATGTGCATGGGAAGTTATCAGAATTCTTGTATATTATGTCAATTTTCCTTCAGGAACATTGGAGAAATTCTTTTTTTAAAATTATCTCTTAAATATTTCCTATCCTTTTTAATACTGCTTTTCTTCTGAAACTCTTTTTTTTTTTAAAAAAAAATCTTTTCTTATTTTTGAGATTATAATTACATCATTCTCCCTCTTCCCTTTCCTCTTTCAAACCCCTTCCATATCCCATGGCTCTTTTGCAAATTCATGGCCACTTTTTTCATTAATTGTAGTTACATGCAAATATATATACACATTCATAGCTGTATGCGCATACACACATGCACACATACACACACATACACAAACTGCAGTTGGCATTTTCTTTGGGCTACCAACCAGCTCCCAAATAAAGACATGAAGACTTATTATTTATTATGAATGCTCAGCCTTAATTTAGCATTGTTCCATTAGCTCTTTTAACCTAATTTAACCTGTCTCTATTCATCTACATTTTTGCATCGGGTACTTTCACCCTTTTCTCATTCTGCATGTCCTACTTTCTTGCTTCCTCCACATCTGACTGGCTGGCCCCTGACATCTCCCTGTCATCTCTTTTTCTTTCCTTCCTGAGCCTAAATTTCTCCTCCTACTTACTTTCCCTGACTGTAAGATCTGCCTATGCCTCCTCCTTTGCTATTGGCCATTCAGCTTTTGGTTAGAACAATCATGTGCCTTAGACAGGTCAGGAAAAACAGCCATACATCTTTATATAATTAAACAAATGCAACACATCTTTGCATAGTTAAATAAATATTCTGTAACACACACAGCTGTTTTCCTAAATATAACCTGCTGAATCCATATAATGTTACTTGTAGGTATATTTTCAGTACTGGCCATTGGGTATTGAATAATCAATCAGTGTGCTCTTTCTTGGGAAGACTTCTTTCTCCCTCTCTCAGCATTCTTTAATTGCCTGTAGTCCCTTGTGTAGATCTGAGCCTGCGCGGTCTTTGCTCCCATCCCCTTAGCCTGTCTACTGTTGTCATTGTCTGGCTCATGTCCAGACAGTCACATCAGTGACACTTTATGGGCAATATCTTCTGACATCAGTAGGCGGCACAGCCTCACGGAAAGCTCTCTGATCGTCTGGCTCTTACAAACTTTCTGCCTTCTTTCCCACAATGTTCTCTGAGCTTAAGGTGCAGGAGTTGTATTGTACACGCATCCGTGAGAACTGGGCTCTGTAGTTCTGCATTCAGATTGGCTGGGACTCTTTTGGGACTCGTTGTTTCTTAGATATTAGACCATTTGATGTCCTTTCACTCATGATACTGTGATATTTTCCTATTTATTTTCTTTTTGTCATTCATTTTGTAAAATTTCTATGTTTCAATTTCTTTTTTACTTTCCTTTGGTGTGCTCAGTGTTTTCATAGAATCGCCAAAGGAATGATTCATCTGCAGTACAGTGAATTAAAATTCTTACTACTCTCCCATTTGACGGCTTTATATCTCCGCTGTGATAATGAATTTCCCCAATATAGTCCTGTGTGTTCTTTGCTTTTCCTACTTTTTAACATAACATTAATGATTATTTTCAAGTCTTTGTCAAATCTTGCAATATATGGATCATATATAGCTATTTGGATTGATTTACCTATTATAAAGGACAACATTTTCTTATTACTTTTTGTTGGATGCCTGATATCTTGCTCAGGATACCAGAAATTAAGCTATATATTAGTTAAGTCAAGAAATGAGTGTCGCTTCTCTCATCCTGTTGGAGGTTTCAGGAATTTATTCAATTCTCCAGCTGGTTTTGGATTTAAGTTTTATTGCTATTTTCCTCTGTGTCAGTTGGAATTCTCTGAGTGAATAGAATAATGTGATCTGGCTAGCTAGTTTTGGTACACGGATGGACAGACAGATCATTACTTTACCCATTTAATTACCCAGGCTCAAGCACATCTGCTTCATCATATTTTCATAATTTACTAAGTACACTACTGTTTAATTCTGCCTTTGGGCCTTGTTTCCTTTATTAATGCCCTAGTGCCACATAAGACTTACGTTAATGTGATTATCTCCTTTCCCAGTTTTCCTATTTCATATCATTATTTTCTCAGATATCAACCACAGTAAAATTTCGCATCCATCCATCCATCCATACATACATATATATACCCAAAACACATTTTTTTAACAGATATAAGCAGAATGCTCTAAAAGTTTCTAAGGACAGGTTGGAAAGGAGGAGGAGGAGGAAAGGGACAAGGAGGAGCAGGGCACAATTGGTGTGCTGTCACAACCACCTAAGCAGTGCAAGCAACCGTAGAATATAGGAAGGGCTCAAAAAGTTTCCTTGCTCTAGACTGGAGAGAGTGCCACTCAGCCACACTTCTAACCCAGTGATAGAGAATTCAGACGTCTGGCTTCCCAAAGAGCAAGAAAACAAATGCCTGCAATGTTTACCAATGTGTTAACACACTCATGAGACAGCAACACAGCAGGTGTGGCGCCGATGCAAACACACAGGCTTATTGAGCCAGTCGAGACACCAGCAGAGACTTCTCGGTGGACAAATTGGCAGGCTACTTGGCACATCTGTCTGTCCTGAAAGGACACTCAGACGCTGATGATGCTTTGGAAATTAAGTTATTAATAGTTATTAAGCAAACCTGAGCTAAAGCTTTAAGTAAATACTTGATTATCGGGGGAAGGCATGGTAAATGGCAAGGTTGGTTTGCAACATCATTTTCATGGTTGCAACCACGTGCTCTATTGCTCAGTTGGGAAATGGAAGGGCGACAGGGTCTGTCCCTAAAGTCACAAGTCCAGCTCCTCCAAGATGACATTAGAAATGCCAAAGGGAAATCAAAGTTTTAATGGACACATTGTACTTAGAGATGCGAGATAAGCATCAAGGTAATGGGGTTGAACATTAACAGCACTGGCTTTGGGGGAAAGCCAGGAAGAATTGAGAAATCAAATGTCACTGTCCTTCAGTAAGAAGCCAAGGAGAACACCATGCATATGTGTGCTTGCACAGTGCCAACGAAGTGAAAGCTGGAAGGGTTGAAAAATAGGGGGAAAAAGATAAAGACAATAAAAGTGCTTGAGGACTTGAAAAATAAGGTAATAAAGCTGGGTGGTGGTGGCGCACACCTTTAATCCCAGTACTCAAGAGCCAGAGGCAGGAGGATCTCTGTGAGTTTGAGGCCAGCCCGGTGTACAAGAGCTAGTTCTAGGACAGGCTCCACAGCTATATAGAGAAACCCTGTCTGAGAGAGAGAGAGAGAGAGAGAGAGAGAGAGAGAGAGAGAGAGAGAGAGAG